GGCTGGGCAGTAGACTGGGGCAGCAAGCATACAACCGCACGAGGAAAGGAATTACTAGAAGCCTTTTCTACATTAGAAGTAGTACTGCTCAACAGTGGTGACACACCAACCTACACCAAAGGAGACGCAAGTTCTATTGTAGATCTCACTTTCGTCAGTGACAGCCTCACCAAAGGTAATATCAACTGGAAGGTGATGGATACCTACACAGCCAGCGACCGCAACGCGATTCTCTGGGAAATATTAAACGTCCAGAGCCCGAGAAGACCTAAAAAGCAACTTAACACCATTGGTTGGAAGGTAAAAACGCTTGATCCAAGTGCATTGTTAGTAGCTCTCAATAGTGACCAGATTATCGCAGGCTGCGCAGAAGAGAAGACCAAGGACCTGATGAAAAGAGTGACCCAGGCGTGTGACGCCAGTATGTCTCGTAGACCTAGCATGAACACAAGACCTTCTGTTCACAGAAGGTGGAACGACCATATCAGCGCCCTTCGTAAAGAGTGTCATCAGAAGAGAAGAATATCTCAGCGTGGCTACCGACGAACTAACTCTGTGGAACTGGTTGCAGAGTACAAAAAGGCGCGCCGTGAACTGAATAAAGCCATCAAAGAGAGCAAAAGAAGATGCTGGAAAGAGCTTATATACGAGGTGAATAAAGACGTGTGGGGTAGGCCTTATAAGGTGGTTATGACCCACCTGAAAAAACAACAAATGCCATCACCTACGTGTCCCCAACTTCTTCAGAAAATCGTCACTGCATTGTTTCCACAGCAACGCAACTTCGATTACCAGTTGGCGCCAGGCGAATTGGACGACATCCCACCTGTCACTGAAGAAGAATTGCTAGAGGCTTGTAACCGTGTAGGGAATAATAAAGCGCCGGGATTGGACGGAATCCCTAATTTAGCCTTAAAAACCATCATAAAGGCAGCTCCAACATTATTCCTAGACGCTTATAATGCATGCCTCAAAGAGGGGACTTTTCCTCGTAAGTGGAAACAGCAACGATTGGTACTGTTACCTAAAGGGAAGAAGCCACCAGAAGAACCGTCATCTTACCGACCACTTTGCATGCTAGATACGGCGGGTAAGATATTTGAGCGCATAATTCATCAACGATTAAATGCAGTAGTCGACCCACTCCTGGCAGACAATCAGTATGGATTCCGGAAAGGACGATTAACCCTGGACGCAATCAAACTGGTTGTTGATACAGCCAAGGAAGCAATCGCAGGAACCAGATGGAAGGGTGGAACGAAAGAGAAAGGATTGTGGAGAGGATCATCTTAATGTGAGTTTATAGAATATGCGAGAAAAAATTATTAGATAGCTCGGATTAACTGAGCTGTCGGCTACTCGACCTGACATCCCAGGGCAGGAATATCCCAGGACAGCAATCAAATTAAATAGTAATTAGAATAATTAATAATGACTTTAAATCAAAAATCTAAGAGAACTTAAATCTATACTGTCGATAAATTAGTTAGTCTAGTAATTATTGTGACGGTCGGTAAGCTAGTTTCCGGATTCCGATTTTACCATTTGTGCAAACTCGAGCTAATAATTCTCAAATCCCATATCCTGGTGACTCACCGTCTCCCAGGAGTCCTAACCTTTACCCAGGTACAAGCGGATAGGATCCTTCTTGCACCACCTACACGGTATAGTTTCACCACAGTACCCTTACAGAATGTTCGAGGATCAATGTGTAGCCAGCGCAACACATCAACCAATTAATCGGTTAATTTTAATCAAACTTACCTTACTATTATCCCAGCGGACCAGAGCAAGGAAGATTGATTCAGTTTCAAATCCAGCGACTTAACACTCAGATAAAGTTCCTTATCGGAATGATCTTTTCCGTTATAATTTTCGCTTATAAAAGTACGGAATAAGAATCGTCAAGCGAACAGTTTAGTATTTTCGGCGCGCTCTAGCGGTGGGACGGGAACTAAAATGATTAGCGCGAGATTTAAGTAGTTATGTCTGTTTTAATGTTCTTAGTCATAGCGTGTGTTACAAAATTAATTATTTAATTAAACATAAACAATAAATTAATAAAATAGATAATAATAAAATCAAGTTTCTTCACAAACTTAGTCAAGTAAAGTAAATTTTATTTTTTTTAGATGGCTACGGGAGCAGCGACGGGTTCCCAAACGTGGCTTTGATCGTTACGAAAAGCCGACGTGATTGAGTAGTTGAAAAAGCACAACGTGCCATTTGAATCAAGGGCAACTTTAATAGAGTTACGAATCTTGCTGAGAGCCCAGTTGAATAAAATAAAGATCGCGAATGCGGATCGAGAAGGCACATACGATCAACTGTTGGGCGATCTCGATCGGTCCAAACAAGAAGTAGAGGAAAATGAGGGGGGAAGCGATTCAGACAAAGAAATACTGCCACTAGACGACGATCCGACTCAAGGAGACGCTCAATCGAATGCAACCCGGGAACAAGAAGCTAGAGAAGCTGAGTTACGTCGGGAACTTGAGAGCGAATTCCGAAAAGAGTTAGAAAAAAAGGAAAGGGAGAAGATAGAGCGAGAGAACCGCGAAAAGCGCTGATTCGAACGTGAATAACGGGAACTCGAGGAAAAGAGAAAACGAGAACAAGAGGCTCGAGAAAAAGAAAGAGAGAAACCTGAGGCCTAGGATTGGAAAAAAAGAGAGCGGGAAGAGCGAGAGAAACGCGAACGTGAGGAACGTGAAGAAAGAGAAAGAGTTGAGCGCAAAACACGGGAGTGGGAGGAACGAGAACTGCGAGAACGATTAAAACGCGAGATTACGGAACAAGTAAGACGAGAAATAGAGGCGAGAAGGGTACCCAACCCGGAGATCGCGGGACCGGAGACAGAACAAGAGGTACAGACCAGACGAGAACGAGAACGACGCGAACGTGAGCAAAGAGAACAAGAGTTATTTGGTGAGACTTTCGTCTCCCTCCTTTCGAACAGGCCGTTTCCTGGGCTTAAAAAAGCTATACACGCACTTAAAATAAAACCCAAATCTCACCAAAACAAAAGCACTGTCAACTCACTGCGCAAGGAAAAATCCTGCCCTCCAGCTTTTACGCTATCACTGGACAGAATGTGAATGGAGTTGAATTTAATTTAATGTCAATCTATTCTCGTAATTGTTCACTGTATCAAACCCCCTATACAACTCCATTCAACGACTACGTTGGCCTGGCCGGTAATATAATGACAATTCGACCAGTTGCCCAGCGGGGCCCATGCGGGGAGGTGTAGCCGTAAGGCCTGTTGAGCTATAATATTTAGTTATCCCTGTATGTGTCTCGTTCGTTTGTTACTTGTCTACTGTCATCCCCATAATCTTTGAGCATACCTGCGTTGCCAAATGCTTTGACATTGTCACGAGGCCTTACTCATGAAAGAGAACAAGAGTTATTCGGTGAGACTGTCGTCTGCCTCCATTTAGTTATCCCTGTATCTGTCTCGTTCGTTTGTTAACTGTCTCTTCTGTGATCCCCGTAATCTTTGAGTCTACCTGCGTTGCCAAATGTTTTGACAACGTCACGAGGCCTTACTCATGAAAGAGAACAAGAGGAGCGTGAAACTCGAGAACGTTTGAGACAAGAAATCACGGAACAAGTACTACGGGAAATAGAACTAGACAGGCAAGCCAATCTGGCCGCACAAAACCCGGGCATGATTGTTCCGGCAGCATTGCCGAGAGGAAACGACGAATTCCGAACGAGAGACTTAGTACGCAAGTGGGGCGTTACTTTCAACGGTGAACGCGACGTCTTAGATTTCATCGAGCGTATCGACGAGCTAACCGAGAGTTATGGGTTCCAGAAGGACAAGCTAGTCCATTGCATTCCCATGCTTCTCCGCGAGAAAGCCATACACTGGTACTGAAACAACAAGAGAGACTGGGTGTCGTGGGAAGACCACGTCGGATTTAAAACCTTTCTTACCTACCACCCGGCCGGGAGATCGAACTCGAAGAGCAAATTAGGAACCGGGTGCAGAAGGGAACCGAGATAGCAAAGGAGTATGCGACAAGTTTATAGACCCTGATGCGTCGACACGGTCAAATGACTCCTTAGGCCAAGTTAGCGCGATTGTATCAAAATTGGAGACCCGAATACCGCCGATATATTAAGCGAACCGAGTTCACGAACGTTCCAGAGCTATTGCGACTGGCAGGCGAGTTCGAGCAACTCGTGGCTCAGGAAAACGGGGTACCGCAGACTAGTAATAAGCCAGCAGTCGGAAAAACTAACACCGGCTACAGGTAAAACGACGAAACCAGCCGCGTCGTTAGAGATTTTAGAGTACGTTTGGCGAGAGCATTGTTGGCGCTGTCGGCAGAAAGGCCACCGACAACCCCAATGCACGAACCAACCAGTTAAATTCTGTTCACGGTGCGGTAAGATGGGCACGTGGACCCGTGATTGCTGCCCGTGGCCGGGAAACGCCGCGAGGGTCGACACCAGCTCCCAGAGTCGACCCGGAGACCGTCAAGACTCACGAATATCGGGAGCCAGACCCCAGACGAACCAAACGGTCAACGCCGCGACAACAAACGCGTCGGAACCCAGCAGCAGTACAACCCCTCAGCAATAAGAGTAGGAGATAAACGTCCTTTCGCCAAAATCGAGCTTGGCGTAAGAGATATCCACGCGCTAATGGATACTGGCGCAACGGCGTCCATAATTTCACCAGCTACATGGACTTTCGTACAAAATAACGGACTATTTAAAAAGTATGATCCAACGCCGAAACAAGGATCAACCTTAAGAAGCCACGTGGTGCAAACTACTAGTACCGCGTGGATCGTGATAACAGAGTCAGGTCGAGCTTACACGTTACCGTTTCATATTATTCCGTCGTATAGAAATGATATGCTTTTGGGGGTCGATAACCTGGGCAAAATGGGCTATCAGTTACTACGTAAGCAGGATACGTTCGAGTGTCATACCCTCGACGTAAAATGCGATCTTGAGACCGCTCGCCGAGAAATTAAAGCTTTACTCAAGCTCGATGAAGGAGTGAAAGGTCCAACTCATTGCGCGACTCATAAAATTGAGTTGAAACCCGGCACGGAACCGATCAAATCACGTTACTATCCGAAAATGCAAAAGATTATGAACGACGAAGTAGACAAAATGCTCCAGGACGGCATAATAGAACCGTCTAGCAGTCCTCGGAGCTTGCCGATTGTGATGGTACGGAAGAAGGACCAAAAATATCGTTTTTGCGTCGACCTACGACACGTAAATGACGTCTCCAAGAAGGATGCATTCCCGATTCCTCAGGTCAATGCTTCACTAGACAAATTGCGAGGATCTAAGTATAAGAGCGTAATCGACTTAAAGAGCGGGTATTGGCAAATACCACTGGACGAAGAGAGTAAACCAATTACTGCCTTTACAATTCCCGGACGTGGTTTATTCCAATTCCGCGTGATGCCTTTCGGGTTACATTCGGCACCCGCGACATTTCAACGAGCCATGCACAAAGTCTTAGGAGTCGATCTAGAACCTTACGTCGTAGTATATTTAGATGACTTTATTGTACTCGGTGAAAGTCTTGATCACCACATGTAAATATTACAAAAGGTGCTAGAACATCTTAGAGCCGCGAATTTGAAGATTAACCACGAGAAAAGTCGTTTCCTGGAAACGTCGGTTATCTATCTCGGGCATGTTATCAACGAACACGGGATTCACACGGACCCAGAAAAGGTGAAAGCAATCAGCGAGATCGCTCCACCACGAACGACGAAAGAATTACGCCAGTTTTTGGAAATGGTCTCATGGTACCGACGATTCATCCCGAACTGTGCAGACCGAACCAAGCCACTCCGAACTAAGCCACTTTACTCCAGAAAAAGAAACGTTGGAGATGGACAGAAGTAGAGCAAACGGCTTTCGACACTTTGAAAAATCATTTAAAATCCGCGCCGGTGTTAACTCCCCCGGATTTTAATAAGAAATTTACGCTGCAAACCGACGCGAGTAACGAAGGACTCGGTGCAGTGTTGACGCAGGAAGACGACGGTAAAGAACAAGTTATCGCGTACGCGAGCCGAGGGATGAACAAAGCGGAGCGAAATTACTCCGTGACTGAGATAGAGTGCCTAGCCGTCGTTTGGGCAATTCAGAAAATGAGGCCGTATCACGAGGGTTACGAGTTTACGGTTATCACTGATCACCAATCGTTAAAATGGTTGCGTACGATGGAGAGCCCAAGCGGTTGAGTAGCTAGGTGGAATATGTATTTGCAACAATACGATTTTAACGTCGTGTATCGAAAGGGAAAATGGAACAAGGCGGCCAACGCCTTGTCACGTAGCCAACCGGAAAATGCCGTCATTGAAGAAGCCAATGACCACGAAGCGAAGCTTGTGATCAACGCTTTAATTTTAGGAGACTCGTGGTACGAACGCGTTAAAAAGGGCGTCGAAAATGACCCACAGAAGTATCCAGAATACTGTTTAAAGAATGGTCTTTTGTACCGACACGCGTATCCAGTCTCAATTACACGGATCGAGGAGACGTTTGGAAGTTATGCATACCGAATGCAAGCAGACGACAAGTTTTGCACGAGAATCACGACGCTCTGACCAGTGGACACGGAGGTATTGCAAAAACCATCGCGAGGATCTCACGTTGCTATTATTGGCCAAAAATGCGCGCCGAGATTACTGAGTACGTCCGTCAATGTATCAAATGTCAGGAATTTAAGCCGTCACAGCAACCCCCGTCTGCACTGATGGGTACTATACCGGCTACCAGACCCTGGGCGGTGGTATCAGCGGATATCATCGGCCCAAAACCAAGGTTGAGCAGCGGAATGGTGTATATCGTGGTATTCCAAGATAAATATACGAAATGGGTCGAGGCACACCCGTTACGTCATCAAAAAGCCGACGCGATTAGTAAAGTCTTAAAAGATAAAGTGTTACTGCGTTTTGGACGATTCGATATGGTCATCACGGATAATGGAACCCCATTCGTAAGCAAAGAGTTCACTTCACTATTACAAGGATTTCATATCGAACACGTGAAAACCCCACCATACTCACCTCAGTGCAACCCTGTAGAACGCACGAATTGCGTAATTGGGATAAAGATTGCCCAATTCGTCGAAAAAAGTCAGAAAACGTGGGATAAACTGCTATCGGAATTAATGTTCGCGTATAACACGGTGAAACACGACGCAACGCAGTTCCCACCGGCGTATTTAAATTACGGACGCGAGATTATGCCACCTATATCAGTAAGGGCATTGAGCGACGAAGGTACACACGTACAACACGACCCACATAAGGCGGCGAAGTCTCTAGAAGAAACGATGGAATTAGTAAACGTAAATCTAGCACAGGCATACGAGCGACAGGCTAAATACTACGATAAAAAACGAAGATCGTAGCAACCTGAAGTCAGAGACTTGGTGAGTCAAAGAGAACACCACTTGTCTTTCGCAGGAGACACCTTTTCAGCCAAGCTGGTCAATAAGTTTTCCACGGGCTTCGTAGTTTAAAAAGTAGTAGGATCGTCGGTGTGGGGCTGTTCATAAATTACGTAAGCGCTCATTAGGGGGGGGGGGTCAAGCTGAATCTCTATGTATGCTTACTTAGGGGGGAGGGCGCTAGTAGACAAAACTTACGTAAGCAAAATTTTTAAATTATTTCAGTAGTCGGTAACTTAAATTACTTTTCTTCTTGCAACGTGCATTCTACTTTTAACAAATATAAATAATGCTGTGAAGTGGGAAAAAATAGAAGTTACGGATAATTATTACGTGAAGCGTTCCAACACTCACGTAACAGGATAATTGGTAGGAAAGGATTGAGAAAGAATTGTGGAGAGGATCATCTTAATGTGAGTGTATAGAATATGTGAGAAAAAAAAAATTATTAGATAGCTCGGACAGAAAAGTTAATTTCTAATGTATATACATCAAATTTGTGAGAATATTACAAATTGATAGAAAATAGCAAATTTTTTATTTTTATGCTACTCAC